GACGATGGGTGCTTTCTCCAGGTTGAAGTGCGCAGACCCTGTTGAGCTGGACGAAACAGAATCTCTCCGATCAGGCCCAATAGAGATTTCTTTCAGGATAAACTCCGTGCCCGTAGTCCCGGACGTAGTCGGTCTAGCAGACACAGGGGTCCTCTCTGAGGGCGGTACTGGCGAGCTAGCATTGGATTTTTGAATCGTGCGTAAGGAAGGTTTTCCTCTGGTCCCGACGCTGGCTTGCCTGAGGAGCGTAGCCGTAGCTACTCCGGCTTGGTGAGTAGAATGTCTAGACGCATCATCGTCAGATTCGCCGTCCAAATACGTGCCCAAGATTTCCGATTCTGCCTGTCCTGAGTACCAGCTAGGTGGATATGGCTGGGCAGAGCCGTAGTGATCTTGCGAGATGGTTGGGCTATCCGGTAATTCCTCTGGAATAGGCGAAACAGACGAGGCACGCTGTCGTGCCGCAGGCACTGGAGGAGCAAGGCTAGCGGTCTTTTTTGGCGCGCCCCCTGGCGCAACACGCTGCTGTGGGGGAAGCGGATGAGGAACTGAGGGAAGTTCAGTAATCGACGAGACGGTGGATATGCCTGACTGTCGAAAGAGGTCGTCTGTGGCGACGGAAACGCGAGGTGTTGAACCTGCAACACTGTCTGGGCTAGGCGGCCGAGGAATGGGAATTCTGATGGCAGGACGCGGGCCTGGCGGGATTGGGAACGGCTGCGAAAAGGAGGGAACTGGACGTTTGATGTTCAACGGGCTAGGTGCTGGTGGGACATCGGACATGCTTCTCTCCGAGTAGACCGAAGGGGACGGGCAATCCGGACGGGGTGGGCGCACAGGCGGAGGCCCTTTTGGAACGACCAAGGTTGCGTGAGGGTTAGCCAGATTCGGCGGCAGAGGGGCGTTGTCGGGCAGAGGCCATTGTGTCATATGGGCTGGATTAATGCGGAATGAGGGCGCTGGTTCCTCTGGCGCTCTCTCAGGACGCTTTCCTGCCTGAAGCATCTCCCGCGCTCTTTTGACTGATCCTTTTCGCGCAAAGTCCCCATCTGGCTGGGGCCCAGAGCCTGCGCTTTCAGCTTGGGGAGCCATGTGATAACAGTGCTAGATTGTAGAACTTCTAGCAGTCATAGGAAACTTTTTGCACAATACGGAAGTAAGACCGGCCAGCGCATAGGATGGAAGTCGATATAAGTGTTAGTAGTGGAGATATCTTTCTTCAACACCGGAGAGCAGGTCGATGCGCGAAATCCAGCTCGGCTGGGTATGAGACGAAAGTCAAAAGCAGATGCAGGAAGATAGCGAAACAAGTCCGAGATAATCAATTGTCTAGAACTGTCGGACGCTGTGCAACAGTCTAGGCTTGAAGCAATGGGCTCAGAATTCAATCAAATGAGAGTGGTCGACAACAAGAGTCGCAATGGCACTCAATGCCTCTGGAGGGAATGAGTAAGTCGACGCTACAATCTCAGACATCATAGAAAGCCAGATCAGAAGCTTGCATACCGCACAGGAAAGATAAAATAAGGTCTTTGGTTCAAAAGAAGAATGAAGGAAAGTTGACCCAGGTCAAAGAAGTATAATATCAGACCCCCAAGGCTCAGCGAAAGCTTTGGCTGTCCGTGAAACCCCTGAGCGCATAGTTAGACACTTGTTAGTTACACCTGACCACAGGGGAAAAGCAATACTTTCGGACTTACGGAGTCATAAATCAGAAAAAAAAAGAATGACAGGGAACAAAAAAGAAAGAGCTTCTAGCCCTTACTTTGGGGGAAAGAGCGAACGACTGGAGAACAGAAAGAAAGAGAATAACCCCAGTGTCGCGTCAAAACAGACTCAGACTCAGTCCTTTGGGCGATAGCGCCTCACACGGATGGGAAAGCAAGGCCAAGGGTTTTCCAGCATCCCGGCAAACCAAAAGTCAGACGTTGATATTAAAGTGCTTCATTTCCGTCCTATGCGCAGGCATTAGGACCGGATAAGGGCGCAGACGTTTTAGAGTCGGACCAGTTCAGTCGCAAGTGGAGTTGACCCAGCGCCAATGGCGCGGGGACAGGCACGGAAAGCCGTTTGTGATAATGCTGGCTACTATTAAGAGACCCAGCGCGCGATACCCAGCCTCCCACGTAAACAATACATTCAAAAGGTGGTTGACCAGCCAGACATCCTGAGCTGAAGCCGCTTCGTTTGGGCGACAGTCAAGGTGACGAATAGCATCCCCTACCACGGCCTACCAACCTCATGTGCATGATAATTCCCTGGTTTTCCCTTCACCATTTGCAGTGTACGGAAGCTGCATGCAGACGGCAAGCGGAGTCCCATGAGTCGCAATGCCATGCTACACAAGAGGGGACAGGGTAGGCGAGGGCCGTAGATTGGCTCGAAAATGAGGATACTGAATTACCGGAGAAGCTAAAAGCTGGGCGGGTCAGGACCCGACCTTGACTGTGCGCCAGGCCATTGGTCAGGAACGGAACGACCAAGAGGATGGCGGATGGACTAGGTCTCACCTTGAACAGGAGTACCGCTCCTCTACGGCCCTGAGATTTCAATGTGAAACCGTCGACGAAGCTCCTCCCGTGTGCAGCAACCAATAAACGAGCCGAACAAGCGAGCGAGGCCTAATCATTCAGCGTAGACCATCCGCGAGTCGCATATGATCCTGGCTCGGGTAGCTCCACTGTATATCAGCGCCTTCAAACTAACCGAGTCTCACGACCGTTGTAGATTGGTGATAGTGACGAAGCGAGCAAACTCAATCAAAGCTGGCGATGGCGCCTTTTCCCAATTGCACATTCTTCTCTTTCGACTTTCGGAATGGAAGGAAGGACATCCGTCAAGACCAGCGATCGCGTCGGTTGTCAACTAGCACTCTTAGATCGTAGAACCCGTCTCGTTGTCCGTCGGGCAGAAAACTCATTGCGGTTTAGTGAGTGAGCCCCGGAGATTAAAAGCACAATAGTCGGATTACGGCAATAGATTAAGCGGGTAAACATCATATGAGGAACTGGACGGCCGGTGGGCGGGATAATAGTAGTATCCTCCTATTTTGTTCATGGTCTGTGAGGGCAGTCTAGAAGAATATGTGAGATGGTCAGGATACGAGATCCATCCGGAGGGTAAAAGGTGAGAGGCAGAGTGGCAGCGAAGGGAGGAGAGGAGGGAAGCCTTTGGAAAGCGACTAGGATGCGAGGCTCAACGGCCAGCCATCCTGCAGCCACTCCTGCAACTGCAAGTCTGCAACAACAACAACAACAACAACCACCCCCGTTTCCACTCGTGAAAAAGCCGACGGTTGTCTGACAGGGGAGTTCGTTGGTACCTTAGTTCTTTTCCCAGCAAATGCTTGGTCAATCTGTCGAAGTCGCAAAAATTGGTCCGGGCCATAAACAGAGTGGGTATGGTCTATGGGATGGTGTATCCAGTTTGTCAACGACTAGATACTCCATCCTACCTATCCAGTCAGTTAGTATACCCGCCCATCTGGTAAGTAATAAATGTTCCCTGTTCAAATGCGCTGGACCTTCCAAGGCAGAAATAAAAATAGACTCTGGTGGAAATATGTACCGAGAGTGGGTGCATCTGTTCTTCTATCCATATTGCTCTTCATTTATTTACTTTTCAACTGCCGTAGCTTGCATGTAGTCTATTTATATGCACAAGTCTAGAATTTACGATATGGAGTGGCTACTGCCTGAGAGCACGATCCTTGCGACAGGAAGGAAACTGATCCCAACTTGAACCTTCCCATCGCTTCAATCGCCACGACCACCACCACTACCTTACTTCTGGCGCATGGTGGCCTAGAAGAGGACCCTGCGAGCACCACCAGCCTCCCTCACACCTGGCCCAGCTCACTCCGCACTCGATGAACTTCCTTCTCCACGGTGCGCATCTCAACTACGACACTAGCGAGCCGGGGTAGGCGACTTTCAACGGCTTCGGTGAAGGACTTTTGGGCGCTGCGAAGATAAGGGGGCACCAGGATCCCGTACCAATGGATCGGGTCCGAAGAACGAAACTTCTTCTTTTTCGATCGCTTGGGCTTATCATCCGCATCGGGGTCTGTTTGAGGGGTCTCGGATGTGGTCGAGAGCTCACCAGCTTGGGTATCTCCCTCTTCGTGTTGTGGCCGATTTTCCTCAGGTGAATCGGCATCTGATTCGGGCTTCTCGTCCGTGTCGGATTCGTCCTCTGAATGTTGGACGGTAACTGATTCGATCCCAAATATACTGGAGTTTGAATCGCTATTGTCGGTGTCAGTCGGCGGTAAGTTGTCCTCCTCCGTTGCGTAGCGTTCCTCAGCCAGGTTGGTAGGAGGTTGTAGAGTCCTGATCAGGATGAAATCAATTAGCACCGCGTCTTGGGATGGTACAAACATCTACCAGACTCACACTCTTCTTGTCGCCTTCATGCGCTCATCGTAGTAGTCTGCCCCATAGTGTCGACCCGGTGGACAAGTATAGTTGGCTTGGGCAAGAGAGAAAAACCCCTGGTGTTGTTCTCAGTATCGCTTACCGCAACAAAGCCTCAAGCTTGCTATGGCGAAGTGACTTACCGAGGAGAGCTTCGACCCTAGCTCAGCTTGCAACTTCTGATGCTGATCTAGAAGGTGCAGATACCGCTCCAGTAGATTGTCTAGCGACTGCAGCAAGTCCTCCGGGGCATCTGCTACAGGAGCTTGCTTGGGTTCGGAATCCGGAGCTGGTGAAGCTGGACGGGAAGCGGGCGGAGTAGGGATTTGCGCCATTGGGATCTGAAGGTGATCACAGCGAGCGATCTGCAGCGCATAGACACTTTGTCCAGCAAGAAAACAGTTCAATTGTGAGTGAAGGCTTCAACCGTGGTTGTTGGCGAAGAGCGGAGCCATTCTGGAAGCCGAGGGGAAGATCCCCCGTGGAGGTCGGCCGGCGAGTCCGATAACTCCGTCATCGCGCCTCCGAGCCCAAAAGCAAAAGAATTTCCCGGAGAGCCTGCCAGCGATTATCCCTTCAACGCTCCGCTTGCATCCCCATCCGGAAGCATCCGTTTTTCTTTATATATTCTGCTTGTCAGAATAACCTTATTTCGACTCTTGCTGGGATAGAATCCCTGGTCTAGTTGACTGTTGAGGCGACTCGACTCTTGACCGGTACGCCACCTGCTTTGCGCTGTCCGAGGACATCTCAACCCTTCTGCGAAAAGCCTCTCGGAGTCGGACGTCCTCGGTAAAGACGACTCGGGCTGTTCCTCTTTGGGACTTGAAAAGCTAATGCGAATAGCATCGCCTAGCTGTACCCCCGCGTTAGCGGCCGAGCCGATTAGAAATCCAGGATCCCTGTATCTGGAATCGCTTTTAGCATCATCATCATCATCATCAACATAATCTTCAGCTTGTCCTATCTTTCCAGTTATACAAAGTTTATAATCGCATCTCTCCACTCAAATTCGCCCATCATGTCTGTGCCGACCATGCAGCGTGAAACGGCCTTCCAGGTCCGGTCTCTGGTATGCCCTCCCTGCTGAACCTAGATTGCGCGGGAATCCCTCCTACGCTCCTATTACAATGGCACTGGGGCTAACCAGTCATTTTATGCAGTTCCGCTCTTTGCTCCGTCAATCCTCCCAGTTCTCGAACTACAACTTCCGCGAGTATGCCCGCCGGCGCACGATGGATGCCTTCCGCGAGCACCAGAAGGAATCCGAGGACCGACGGATACAGGAGTTGATCCAGGATGGACTACAGAACTTGCGGATGATGAAGGTCAGTATATTCCTCGGCTGGACATGATTCGATGTGCCCGCGTTGGTCTCTTTTATGCAGACCATGCGTTCTGAGTCAAAGCGGGGGTGGACGCTAGTGAACGAGCTGCTAATACTTTTGCAGAGGCAAACCATTATCAGTCAGTTCTACCAGCTGGATCGGTTGGTTGTTGAGGGTCAGAAGACTGTGAGTATTCATGGAGCCTGTCTGTGATCGCAATGAAGCTAATTAGTTATCAGGGTAAGCAGACTGGCACGGAAGGAAACATTGTTCGCCAGAAGGATACTGGGTAAGATGAACCCTTCGTTATCTAGTTTCATTGGGAGTCTTTGCTGACGTCTTTTTAGCTGGGACTAAACGCCCAACGGGGATCATTTGTTTTTTCGTAGCGAGAGTACGGAGTTGAGGGGAATCCAGCACCAATACGATATCAATATCATTTGGGGCCATTTGAGCCGATGGCCCGAAGATGAAGGAATAGCATAGATCGAAGGGTTCTGTATTTTTATTGAAAGCCACTGCGCTTTAGGCAGCGATTCTTACTCTTACTCATCTGGAATACCATTCTTCGCTCTCTATTAGCCCAATCCATCTCATCTTGAAACTGTAGTTGATGGTAGTCATGTTTATTCTATGTGAGGGTTCTGAGTGACCCCAGTCACGTGCGGGGGCGGCGGCGCGGCGTTTCGCTGAGCGATCGCATCGCGCTGCTCCGATTCACCATCACCTCCAAAACAGCCTCGCCCTCCCAAAGAGTCCCTTTCTTTACAATCGGGCAAACCACACCCAGCTCCGTAGATTCACTGGGTGAGGGGCTCTCTGCCGTTATCCTGATTATTCTCCGAACAGTGAGACTGCAGGTCCGGCGCTCATCATGCCACCTACTGTAAGCTTGTTGCCGCGATCCACGACCCCGACACCGACCCCCAGTTATCGATCCACTCACCATTGCACCGAAACTTGCCAATGCGGTATAGAAAGATGCCATCGCTGATATGTACTGACAATCCTCCAGTTTAGATCATCTCGCTCTGGTCGCCAATTCGGCGATGGCGCCAACCGTAACAGAAGTCAGATCGATCACGATGTGTTCGAGGGGCTCCCTGTACGACGCTGGACACGTCAAACTCAGACAGTCTCGCAGGTCCCCAAGGCCGAAGGCACTGAAGCTGTCGTGCAGGGCCCCGGGGGGAAGTCAACCATTCCAGAACACCCAATGCCTCGAGACAGTCACCTGTTGAGCCCCATGAGCAGAGCCCTCCTGCGTGCTGCGCGAGCTGGATGCATCTACATCCGCCAAGCGTCAAAAGACTCCGAAGACGAAGAGAAAGAAGCGACCGACGGAGAGGAACAGCCACTTATCCAGAGCACCGAACGCAGCTTCGTCACGCGCAAGTGGTCCGCCGTACCGAGACACCTCGAATCATCAGAAATTGAATTCCTCGCCAAGCGACGACCGGGTTTACCCACTCTATACGGTGCTGCTGCTGCGACTACAGATGGAAATAATGCTCCTGCGCCGATGAGGAGGACCAAGTTCAAGAAGGTCGATCCGGCGACCGGAAATATCTCGATTTACGAAGCATGGGTACCGGAGGGACACAAGATTGAAGGAGAGATCACCGATGGAGCTCAAGTTGTAGCTGAAAACACCGCGGTCACCGTAACCCCTGAGGCGCCCGCGCCCGGTACGGTCATTGAGGGAGTTGGCGTTGTCAACGCTGAGGGTGTGGTGGTCGCAGATACAAACTCTGCAGCTGTCATGACTCCTCCAAAAAGACGGCCCCCTCCCCCAAAGCGCAAGGCGAAGGGCTTTGGAAAGGGGCGGAGAAAGAAGGTCATGTTTGCTCCAGGCGACGGCGCAGATGCCGCCACGGTTCATGGTGCCAATGGCTCCGGAGTGGATGGCGCTTCAGATTATGCCAAAGATGGGGATGCGTCACGTATGTCTGGTGATCAGAATGGACAGGAAGAGGACGACGAGGAGGGTGAGGAAGGCGATGAGAGCGACGAGGGTGATGAGTCTATGCTAGAGGCAAAGACTCCGGAAACTCCAGTTCCGCGCCCCAGCACTGAGCCGCCGACTGACTCGACGCCTGTGCCTGCACCGGCTCCGGCAACTGAACCAGCTGCCACAGCTGATGCGGCGTTACCAACCCCTGAGGTTTCTTCAGCTGCTCCAGAATCACCCTCAGCACCGGCTCCAGCACCGGCTCCCGAGACAGCTCCAGAGCCAGCTGCAGAGCCAGCTGTCCCGCCCACTCAGCCAGAACAACCATCCGTCGCTGCTAAACCTCCTTCAGAATCTGCTGCTATCCAGCCCACATCGGAGGCTTCCGAGCAGACGAGCGAAGCGCCAGGACAGAAGGAAGACGTGGAGATGACCGAAGCTTACCCCTCAATACCTGGTCCTGAGGATAGCGTATCTGCAACCCCTCAGCCAGTTCCAGCTACTCAGCAACAGGAGCCAGCTCCTAGCGCTGAAGATGTTCCGGCGCCCCAGGAAGCCACTCAACCTCCCGTCGCAGAAACATTGCCAGCTGCACCAGCTTCAGAGCAGCCTGTCGATAAACAGCCTGCAGATGAACCAGCACAGCCAGATAAGACAAGTACTGATACTGTTCAGCCGCCGACACAGGATGATCAGAATAAGGATACGACCATGGAGGATGTTGAGCCTCTCCCAGAAACCGCACAGGATCAAGCACCGGTGGAACAACCGGCGGAACAGCCGGTCAAGCAACCAGCTTCCGAGCAACCAGCTCCTCAGCCTAGTGAGGCTGTTGCAGAGAGCAAGGAAGTCGATCTGCTCGGTACGTTGGAAGCGAGTCTGAGCCAGCCACCGGGCGAAGAACAGGGTGACAACCAAGGGACGGACATCGAGATGGAAATGGATGCACCTCCCCACGTTGAGCAGCCTCCTGCTACGGAAATAGTTGAGCCCGTTGCGGATAAGGCCGGGGTGCCTGAGACGCAGCCGGCAGAGGATACCACTGTGGCTGCAGAGACTGCCGTTGAACCAGCTGCAGCGGAACAAGGCGAACGGCCTGCTGAACCACTCAACGAACAGCATACCGAGCAAGCATCCGAAGCTCCTGCACCGCAGTCCATCGAACAACTTCCACAGGCTCCAGCGGAGAAATTGGAAGAGCCGGCAGGCGAGCCGGTCGTGGAACAGCCTGTGAAGTTGGAATCACCTGCTCAGCCCGAGCAACCTACGCAAGCAGAGCCACCTGTTCAGCCAGAACAGCCCAAGCAGGAGGAGCCTGTACAGGCAGTTGAACCTACACAATCAGAGCAGCCGGAACAACCTGGACTACCTGCTCAGCCGGAACAGCCTGTGCAAGCGGAGCCTGTAGAGCCAGTTGAGTCCGTGCAGCCAGAGCAACCGGAGCAACCAGAAGAACCTCAGCAACCCGAGCAGCCTGTGCAACCAGTGCAGCAAGATCAACCCCGAGAGCAAGCCCCATCACAAGCTCCTGAGGAAGTTCCAACCGAAACTGCAGAGCCAACGCCCCAGACTGCAACCGAGCAGCAGCCCGAGCAGACCGAACAGACACAAACCAAGCAGGCGCCTGCTGAGCAACCATCAGAGCCCCAGGCAGATGAACCACCACAAGCACCAGAGGAGCACGTTCCCGTTAACGCAGAGGAACCAGCCGCTCACAAGGTAGAAGAAGAAACACCCCTCGTTCCACCTCAACAGCCAGAGGAAACCCAGCCACCCAAAGAACCTACGCCGCCCGCATTACCAGCTCCAGAGGAACCACAACAACAGCCAGAGCCAGTACCGGCCCCTCAGCCTCCAGCTGAAGCACCCCCGGCCGATGAAAAAGCAACCGAAGAAGCTCCAGCTGAAGCTGAATCTAAGGAGCCTGTACCTATCTCCGAACCCGAACCCACCCCAGCCGAAGCTCCCTCTGCACCTCCTGTCCCCGAGCCTAAGCCTGAGCAACCAGCCCAAGAGACGGCCCAACCCAAGGAGTCAGAGCAGCAGGAGCAACAAGAACACCAACAACCAGCTGATACAAACACAGCATGAGATATATCATGCCCATATCCAATAAGACATACTAGTCTTTTCTTCCAATTCCCCTTCTTTCCTTAGAACCAGAAATTCTTCTTTAAACCTACAGTTCAGGCGCAGCTAGGAAACGGTGCTATGGCGTGAAATCACGGGGACTCGGAATGATTTTTTATTTTTATTTTTTTATTTTTCTATCTATTTATCATGACTGTGGAATTATCATACACGGTATATGTATGGCTTGTGCCATTCGGCTGATCATTTTTATATTCCGTTTCTTTTTTCTCTGTTATTGTATCATAGGGAAGTATATTTTTCTTCAATTTTCTCCTTATAGACCGTTTCCTTTCACGTCTCTTGGTTGTTTAGTGTAGCGTATTAGTACTTGACATATAGCACCGTATACATTACTAGTAGTACATCGTTTAGTTTATCCCCCTTTCTCGAAATCAATCCCTGATAGTACTACTCAGCTAGTGATACTCGACAATATGAACTGAAGGAGACTCCACGGTTCCTCATTTCGCCTGGGTTGCTACTTCATTACAGAATCCACAAGTTATATATACTAAGTAGTACGTACAAACACTGGAACTTGAACAGCAGCAGCCTTAGTACTACTACTACTAGTAGTACTACTTGTTACTAAAATCTAGAAGAACCAAATGGATCTTATCACCGTAACTGAGATTCTCACTAAACGCTTCCTATCTACTATTTCTCCCATAGCTAACACTGGCTGTGTTGTAGTACTAGGTACTCCGCGGACATCTAGTACTACTACTAACTGCAATTGGTTGTTCCATAGCACTGCTACAACTACTGGTACTTATGTAAATATATATAATAGTACTGAGAAATGGTCGGTTGAATGCTGGACTAAAAGATTGAAAGTCCTGTACTTAAGAATTACAATGCACAGCATGTATAATTGCTTTGATGAAACCTGTGGATAAGTACGTAAGTAGTGAACGGAAGGTTTAGATCACCCCGTCTGCGGAGATATATTCCACCAGCAGTGTATGCCGCGTCCACCCCCAACAACAGAACGATTTATTTACTATCGGCAACAGTACCAATCTGTAGACTGTAGTAGTACACGTGCACGCAACAGAATAATCTGGAATAATCCTATTCTGACCAATCAATGAATTGAACAGGAATGCTACCAAGCTTGAAGTCAAAAACAGGGAAAACAGGCTAGCTACACAGTCAATCCATACAAGACATAACAAGCAAATCAAAGCCAAGGAAGCACGTTCGCGCATCAAACATTTCGTCCTATTCCAAGCCTGCTTCGTGAATTGATATGATTTGAGAGGGAAAAAAGGGTGAGAACAGGTAACCAGAAACATTACATCAAACATAACACTGGAGATGAGTGAGGATATAACGATAACAAAAGGGGGTGTTACAGTTCGAAGAGCGCCATCGTGATAATCGAAAAAAGAAAAGAAAAAAGAAAAGAAAAGATAAAGAAAAATAAACAAATAAAGGCAGGTAAGCATAAAATAGCAAACCGAAGCATCCAGTAAATCCAGCAAGGATCATGGGAAG